TTTTGAATGATCCACAAAAAACTGAAAATTTTGTAAATCCGAAAAATCTGAAAATTATGAAAAATAAAAAAAAATGGAAATTTTAAAAAATCCAAGATATCTGGAAATTTTAGAAAATTAAAAAAATCTGGAAATTTTGAATAATCCAAAAAATAGAAATTTTGAAAAATTGAAAAAATCTGGAAATTTTGAAAAATCCAAAAAATCTGGAAATTTTGGAAAATTAAAAAATCTGGAAATTTTGAAAAATTAAAAAAAAAATCGAAAATTTTGAAAATTCCAAAAAATCTGAAAATTGTGAAAATTCCAAAAAAACTGAAAACTTTAAAAAATCCAAAAATCTGGAAATTTTGGAAACAAGCCCCGAAAAAACAACGAAAAAAAGTGCGAGAATAAGACCGATAAAAAAGAAGAGGCAGAAAAACGACAATAAAGGCGACAAAAAATGCTGAAAAAAAAGGTGACAAAAAAGACCGATAAAAAACGGTCATAAGAAAAAAGCGCAAAGAGGGACATAAAAAAAGGTAAAAAAAAATCCAAGAAAAGAAGGAGAGAAAAACCTGACAAAAACCATTAACAAGAAAATAAAGGGCACCAAGAAAAGCGACAGAAACTTCACAAAAAATGCTGCGACCAGAAAAATAAAAAAAAAGATTAAAAAAAGCTACAAAAAATACGATATGACAAAAAAAGATAAGGAAAAACGACAAAAAAGGTAACAAAAAATCCTAAAATCCTAAAAAACAAAAATTTTACGCGCGTCGTATACGTGTTCCATAATACGAAAAGAAAGGAACTAAAACTCCAAAAATATGAAGAGGGAACAAAAACTACAATAAAAGGCGATAAGAAAACAAAAAAGGGTCAAAACGAGAGAAAATAGCTTGAATGATGGTACATAGTGAAAACACTGTTATAAAAACTTTTTGAAAAATTTTAAGTCAAGTTATTAATATTAAAATTTTTATTTTCGTATAGTTTCTTTTCTTCTTTCGACCTCTTTTTGCTTTTGAGAACAACAGTCTATTTTCCACAATACGATCGTGCCTCGAACATACGGATTTTGCAGTTAAGCTCCGCCCCCCGATCTCATAACGAATAAAAAATTCATCACAATTGAGATCGGGGCGGGTGGGTGGGGCTTAATTTTTTTTTTGACTTTTTTTTCTTAATATGTGTAGTTGTCTTTCAACACGATACTTAAATTTAATTTTTTCTTAGAGTTTTTTATAGGCAAGCAGTAGTTAATTTTTAAATAAAAGAAAAGTTAACGAAAATTACAGTAGACAACCAACGAATTTTTGAGGTTAGTTGTTACGGCCGTTGGCCATGAGGAACGCATACCAACCTTAGTTTGACTCGTAGTTTCTTTTTTACTTTTGAAAAAGTTACTAATGGCGTGCTTGGGTGGCGGTTTAGCGCCTTTTTTCGGACGCCCTCTGGCGGGTTTGTCGCACTTATCCATAACCTCAATTTTTAGGGGAATTTCGCTTTTTTTCGACGGTTGCTGCAGGAATTTGTTCAAAGTTGGGTTAACATGGCCTACTTTTTCCAGTTTTGACAGCTGGATACCCATTCCTCGCAGTTCCACGAAGTCCACGTTCATTTTCTCGTAGAGATTTTTGACCTCTCGGTGGATGGTTTTGACGTCTGGGATTGCATGCGAGGTGGTCGAGCTTTTGCTCAAACAGTCGCATAAACCGTGGCCCAGGAATTTCGCGGTTTCCTGGAGAGTTTCAATGTATTAAGTTATGCAACCAATTAAACACAGCTATTAATAATATCATTGTTTAAGTATATCGAAAAACCGAGGAATTCAAACTGAAAAAAGATCGAGAATTCAGAATATCGAAAATTCTGAATATCTGAAATTTAAAAAATAAAAAAATTACAATAACCAAAAAAATTTAACATTAAAAAAAACACACAAAATTAAAGTCGAAAAATCGAGAAATTGAGAAATGGAAAAATGAAAATTTAGAAAGGCCAAAGACTGAAAAGCATAATCGAGAAATCGAAATATAAAAAAATCAAAAAAATAAAAATTGGAAAATCTAAAATTTAAAAATCGAGAAATTGAACAATCGGTTAATTCAAAAATCGAAACATCGAAAAATTGGAAAATCGAAAAATAAAAAAAAATTGGACAATCGAAAATTTAAAAATTCCGAAAATTGAAAAATTGAAATATAGAAGAACTGAAAACTCAAAAAATCGAAAAAAATTAATAATTTCAAAAATTGAAAAGTTAAAATTGAGAAATCGATAAACTGAAAAATCACAAAATTGAACGAAATATCAAAAAATTAGGAAATTAAAAAATTGAGAAACAGAAAAGTCAAAAAAGCAGAGTCTAAAAATCGCAAACTTAAAAAATCGAAAAATTGAAAAATCAAAAACCTGAATAATCGAAAAATTGAAGAACTGAAGAATCGAAACTTTAGGAAGAGGAGAAATGGGAATATAAAAAAAATAGATTTGCCAAAATCGATCTTATTTTAGCAAGTACCTACCCCACCCACCCGCCCTCTATTTTCTTAGAGGGATCTCATTTACTAAAATCAGTCTTATCTTGGCAAAAGTACTCGCCCCGCCTACCCGCCATTTTTGGAATTTTCGATTTCTCATATCTCAATTTTCCAATTTAAAAAATTTTTCGATTTCTCGATTTTTAAGTTTTCGCCTATCTCAATTTTTCAACATCCCAATTTTGAGAATTTTTCAATTTCTATATTTTTCAGATTTTCGATATTTTCATTTTCCCGATTTTGTAATTTCCATTTTCTTTATTTTATATCACAATTTTTCATTTTTCAATTGCCTTTATTTTTTCAATGTTTCTTTGGATTGTATAATTTTTTGGTTATTCAATTTTTTACATTTTCAAACTTTGATTTTTAAGTTTATGATTTCCAATTTTTTTTATTTTTCGAAGCTTTCATTTTGTACTTTTTCGTTTTTTCAGTTTTACAATTTTTCTATTTTATAATTTTTCGATTTTGTTTATTTGAAAAGTCAAAAACTCGAAAAAATGAAAATCTTTAATCTTTATTGATCATTCTACAGAAAAATTGAAGCAATGAAAAACTAAAAACCGAGAAACTTAAAAATCTAAAAAAAATTAATGAATCGAAGAATGGGAAAGAAAAAAAACCATACTAATTGAAAAATTGTAAAATCGAAAAATTATAGAATCTTGAAAATTGTAAAGTCCAAAAACTGTGACATTTAAACACCGAAAAATTGAAAAATTCCAAAAACGAAAAACTGAAAAAGTGAACAACTTTAAAAATTATAATTATTAGAAGTGTTACATAATTAAAATGAAAACTAGAAAAACTGCAAATGAAAAATTAAGGAAACGGAAAATTGAAAGCCGAAAATTGAAAAAATAAAGAAAATTAAAAACCCCCACGAAAAATTGCAAATCGAAAAATTGACGAAATTGAAAACTGAAAACTCGTGAAATTTGCAAACTCTAACATTTGAAACATCCAAAAGTTGGAAAATCAAAAACTGAAAAATCGGGAAATCGAAAATTTTCAAAACTGAAAAGTCGAAAGATTGAAAAATCGAAATTTTGGAAAATCGAAAAACCGAGGAATTCAAACTTTAAAAAAGATCGAGAATTCAAGATGTCGAAAAATCTGAATATCTGAAATTTAAAAAATAAAAAAATTACAATAACCAAAAAAATTTAACATTAAAAAAAACACACACAAAATTAAAGTCGAAAAATCGAGAAATTGAGAAATGGAAAAATGAAAATTTAGAAAGGCCAAAGACTGAAAAGCATAATCGAGAAATCGAAATATAAAAAAATCAAAAAAATAAAAATTGGAAAATCTAAAATTTAAAAATCGAGAAATTGAACAATCGGTTAATTCAAAAATCGAAACATCGAAAAATTGGAAAATCGAAAAATAAAAAAAAATTGGACAATCGAAAATTTAAAAATTCCGAAAATTGAAAAATTGAAATATAGAAGAACTGAAAACTCAAAAAATCGAAAAAAATTAATAATTTCAAAAAATGAAAAGTTAAAATTGAGAAATCGATAAACTGAAAAATCACAAAATTGAACGAAATATCAAAAAATAAGAAATTAAAAAATTGAGAAACAGAAAAGTCAAAAAAGCAGAGTCTAAAAATCGCAAACTTAAAAAATCGAAAAATTGAAAAATCAAAAACCTGAATAATCGAAAAATTGAAGAACTGAAGAACTGAAAAATAATAGATTAATTGAGAAATCCGAAAACTAAAAATTCAGAAACGTCAAAATTTTAAAAATAAAAAATATTGAAGAACTGAAAAATCGAAAAATCTAAAATTTAAAACATTGAAAAGTTAAAATATCCTAAAACTGAAAAATGGAGAAATCCAAACATCAAAAAATCAAAAAAAATAAATAAATAAAAATCTAAAATTTAATAATCGAAAAACTGAAAAATCAACGAATCGAGAAGTCGAGAATTTAAAAAATTGGACAATTGAAAAATCGGATAAATCAAAAATCGAAACATCGAAAAATCGAGAAACCGAAAAGCAAAAAATCGAAAAACCAACAAATCGGAAAATCGAAACATTGTAAAATTCAAAAATTGAGACATCGCGAAATCCAAAAATCAAAAGACAAAAAAATCGAGGAGTCGAAAAATCGAGAAGTCGAAAAATCAAAAAATTGAGAAACCGAAATAGGCCAAAATCGAAAAATCCAAAACTTAAATATGGAAAAATTGATAAAGCGAGAGATTGAATAATCAAAACATCGAAACATCCGAATCTCAATGAATTGAGATCTCAAAAAACATTCGGAAATTTAAAAAATTAAAATATAGAACTGGAAACTCGAGAAACCGAAAAATCTAGAAATTTAAAAATTAAAATATGAAAAAGTTGAAAAATTGAGAAATTGAAATAAAAAACAAAAAACTGAAAATCCAAAAATAAAAAATTGAAAAATCTAGAAGTCGAAAAATGAAAGAATCGAAGTATTGAAAAATATCAAAACTGAAAGAAATATCCAAAAATTGAGAAATCGACAAACCAATAAAGCGAAGTCGAAAAATCGAAGAATTGAAGAACTGAAAAATCGAAACTTTGAGAAGTGGGAAAATCAAAAATAGATTAATTGAGAAATCAGAAAACTGAAAATTTAACGCATAAATTTGAAAAATTGAAAAATTTAAATACTGAAGAACTGAAAAGTCAAAAATCGAGAAATCGAAAAATCTAAAATTTAAAACATTGAATAATTAAAATATTGCAAAATTGAAGAATCGAGAGATCCAATTCAGTTTGAAAAATTGAAAAATCGGGACATTGAAAAATTGGAAAATCCAGAAATTGAAATGCTCAAAAGAAAAAAATCGAAAAATCGAGAAATCCAAAAATCTAAACATCGAAAAATTCAAAAACTGAGACTTCGAGAAATCGAAAAATTGAGAAATTGAATAATCGAAAAATTTTAAAAAAGAAAAACTGGAAAATCCAAAATTAAAATTAAAAAAATCGAAAAATTGAACAATTGAAATATGTATAGAAGAATTGAAAACTCGAGATATAGAAAAACCTAGAATTTTAAAAAATGAAATAATAAAACATCGAAAAGTTGAAAAATTGAGAAATCGAAGCATTAAACAGTCGCAGAATTGAAAAATCTAAAGTTTACAATAAATTAAAAATCCAAAAAGTAAAAAAGCGATAAATCAAAAAAATCCATCAATTCAAAACTCGAAAAGTCGAAAAATTGAAATATTGAAAAATCTCATAACTGAAAGAAATATTCAAAAAATTGAGAAATTAAAAAATTGAAAAATTGAGAAATCGAAAATCTAAAAAGGCAAAATTGAAAAATCGTAATCTTAAAAAATCGAAAAATTGAAGAATTGAAGATGTGAAAAATCGAAACTTTAGGAAATCCAGAAATAGACAAATAAAAAAAATACTTTAGAAATCGGCAAACTGAAAATTTAGAAACGTGAAAATTTGAAAAATTGAAAAATCGTAAAATTGAAGAGGACAAAAATTGAGAAATCGTATCATTGAAACATCGAAAGATTGAGAAATCGAAAAATAAAAAAATCGAGAAATAGAAAATTTAAAGAATGGAGGAATCGGAAAAGCCCAAAATTGAAATATTGAAAAATTGAGACATTTAAAGTTGAAAAATCGAGAAATCGACAAGCCGAAAAATCCCAATAGCGTATTTAGGTATAAATCACAAGATCAGGACTATTCTACTTTTTAAAATTTAAATAACATTATAAATTGGAAAATGTTGATTTTTTTTTCCAAAAATCTTGACGTCTAAGGTGAAAACTCGACACGGATGCATAAACCGTAAACGGGGCGAAACTACAATTTTACTATTGTAAAATTTGGAGATTGCGTCATTTCATTGTTCGTGACAAATTTTGGAGAGTGTAATTTGATAATACAATTTGAAATGTAAATTTTGTCATTCGGGAACATTATGTATTAAATCGTTAAGATGTTCAAGAACTTTGTTCACTTATTCGTTGTAAAGTCCAATGGTCGAAATGGGTTAGTTCTTCGTAGTGGATGTGTATCAGATCAACTCTAACGAATATCGGTTTATAGATAAATCGCTTAAAGCCGATATTGGCCTGAGTGTGCTTTGGTCTGTAGATCAAACAAGTTGGATTTTCAGGTGCTTGACTAGCGGTAATTTTAAATTGTTTGCTGTCGTTCGCGAAGTGAAGA